AAGGGCAGTAAAGGAATACATACGTGTATAATTTGTTCACAAAGGCGGCCTGCGTTTTGTGAGTTGCAACTGTGGTTGTCGTCAAATTATTTGCAGTAGAATTAGACGATGAAGCACTCTGTAAGGTGGAAGGTGGCGAAGAAGTAAGAACCGATGCAGTGGTAAGAGACGGCTCATTTTGTGGAGAGGTAACCAGAGGAGTTATGGTAGGAGAAGCTGGAGAAGAGGAGGTTGTAATAGTAGTAGAAGCAGACGGCTCAGATTTTGGTATACAAAGGTCATTCGCATTACTACTATTCTTATCTCTCTGAGAGTTATCGACGATAACGTCTGTACTGCTGTTATTATTGTTAGAATCCATAACAGGTCTAAAATTACTTTGAATAACCGAAGCCAGTGTAATCCACACAGAAGAATGAAATAATAAAGTAATTTAAAGAAATTAAAGGATTTTTTTTTATATTTGAAAAAGGTAGTATAGATTGTGCGTATATATCGTGTATGTGTATATTATTATGTGTGAGACAAAATTATAGAAAAGGTTTTTTTTCCAGAAAAAAATAAAATAAAAATAATTAAAGAACGGTTACCAATATATGATAATTTACTGATAACGTTCGGTTAATTGAATGGCAAAAAAAAAAAAGTTAAAAGAAAAACCAAAAGGCAATTAAGCAAGAGAACTTTATTAAGACTTGCAGCATACATATAGAAAATTACGATAAGATGCGGGGCCACTGATGTGCTAAAAAGGAATACATAGAAGAATACTCATAGAATGTTCGCCAAATATAATGACAAGATGAAGGCCAGGATTTTTTTGCCTCGTGGGGTGATACTAGTTTCCAAATGCCAAAAAAACAGTGGTGATTGCTAACCAAGAAAATGAAAAAAAAACAGTATTAAAAAATAATCTGCGATAATATATGGAAAAAGGAAATCGCCGAGAATTGCTGTAGGTTTTTCCGTTCCTGTTCTTTTGTTTGCTTATATAAAAGCCTCTACATAGTTGTTTGAATCAAATCTTCCATAAATAACACATACGAATAAAGTAATGTCTTGGTTACGCAACGTACTTATCACCTGATTATCGTGACACACTTGTTTTATTCTTTATTGTTTCCTTTATTGTTAGATACATTCATATACATTCATTTCGATAAAAAGAGTACGCGAAAGAACAAATTCGGATATTGTTATTTTCGGAAAATGTCATTAAATAATTAATTGTCCAGTTGTTGGCGCAACTTTACTTATTTAATATTACTAAAAACTGGTTTGACCGCACAAATTTATCAATAATTCCCTTTATTGTGAATATCTCAAGCCCGGTGCAGTCATATAATCCGCTAGTATTACCGGTAATCGGGTTAAGTATTGCTTTGCTTCGTCAGGTTTACTCGTTAAATAAAAACGCATTAATTAATATCTATTCTCTACTCACAAAACATCTTTTGATGTATTCAACTATTCTACTTTAGGCCATACAAAGTTGATTTTCTGGTTCTCATGACCCGGCAGTCAGGGTAAAAATTTTATATGTAAAAAAAAAATTTTTTAATTTTAATTTTTAGAGAAAGTGACCCGGCCGGGTTACGAGAACCAGAAAATTAACTTTGTATAGCCTTATGGTAACATTCCATAGTTAATAGTTGACGCAAGCAATATGTTATTTCTTATCGTTATTATTATTAAGGCCGGACCAACTCTACTTTTTCAAAATTTGACCAATTTTTTTTAATTATTATTATTTTTTTTTTTATCCCCTCCCCTCGCCTCCTCCCCCGGCGCCTCCACTCCTCGTCCGCTCCGCGCCACTACAGTTGTGATCGTTTACTTCTT